AGTGCATCTGAGCATGTCCTCTAGGATTTGAATAACTCGCTCTGACTGGTCATCTATCTTAGGATGAAAAGTTGTGTTGAAGTGTAGTTTGGTGTTTAAGGACTCGTGAAGGCTTTCTAAAAACGAGAAGTGAATCGAGGGTCTCTATCTGATATGATGGAGGTCGGTACACCGTGTAACCTCACTATCTCACGGATGTACAACTGAGCTAACCTCTCTAAGGTATAGTCCATCTTAACTGAGAGGAAGTGAGTTGATTATGTTAGGTCTACTATGGCCCAAACTATGTAATGTCTTTATTTGGTCATCGGTAACCCGATCACAAATTCCATGGTCACCATGTCCCATTTCCACTGAGAAATCTGAATGGGTTGTAGCAAACCTAAAAGAGCCTAGTGTTACGCCTTAACCTGTTGACATACTAGGCATCTTACTACGAGCTCAGACATTTCCCTTTTCATGCCCGACCAAAATAATAATCTACGAAGTTCCTGATACATCTTTTTGTTGCCTAGGTGTACTGAGAGTGGATTGCAATATGCCTCGTGGAGAATCTTACCGCGCAACTAAGGTTCTGCAGGTACGCACAACTAGCCCCTGAAGTATAACACATCTCTGTCGCGCAACTCAAAACCTGGGGCTCTCCCTGACAGACCTATTCCACCAGCGACCTCAGTCGATCATCTAAAATATGTAGTCGTTTGACTTCACCTACCAACTCTGGCTCGACTCATAAATCAGCTAACAACCCACCATCGATGGATAAACTCAGTAGTGCTAGAAGGACCCGTAACTCTGATATCGACTTTCTACTCAAGGCGTCTGCTACAACATTATCCTTTTATGGGTGGTAGTCAATCACACAGTTGTAATCTTTAAGCATCTCAACCCATCTGTGTTGTCTGAGGTTCAACTCCTTCTGAGTGAGAAGATACTTGATGCTATTGTGATCAGTGAAGATGTGTCACTTCTCCCCGAAAAAGATAGTGTCTCCAAATCTTCAAAGTGAACACCACTGCTGCTAGTTTCAGGTCATGAATAGGATAATTACGATCACGAGGCTTAAGCTGACCCTTTTAAAAGAGGATTGTGCTTATTTTGTGTGAGTAGTTGGGTGTTTAATAAAAAATTTTGATGTTTTCTATTTAAAATTTAATGTATTTATTAAATAGTTTATTAAACGTAATATAAAAACAATTTACAAGCAAATTTATTTAGTTTTGGTTGTTCTTATAATTCAATTTTTTATATTTTTTATTAGGAGTCTAATTTTTATTTTCACTTCATGCCACTAAAATCTCATAAGCGGAACTACTCGCGAAAAGACATGAGTAGGAAAAAAATTCATGTAAACATTATTAATAAAATATAAATTAGTTATTTGTACTTATTTCATTAATTACACTCATTAATAAGTAATCGTGTATTATTTTATATTATTTATTAATAATCTGAGTATCCACAAACGCAACTATATATTTTATACTTATTAATAATACGAGTATCCCCAAACATTCATGTGTTGTCTGGTTTCGACATTTGCTTTTCAATTGTGTCATCAAGTCGTTCAACCTTCATTAGTTTTACAATTAGATTTTCATCATTATTAAACCTTTAATCGGATCATTGTACAGTAATAAGTATTTTTATACCTTACATGATTTATATTCTCTTTTTGATGTCATTCTTAAGATCCGTTATTTGATAAAGAGATAAAATCATAAATATCCAATAGTCTTGTCACCTCATAAATATAATATTTGGTTATCAAAGATTTCGAACAATTAGAAGATCTCTCAATTTATTTTAAATAGATAAATATAAATTTTTTAAATAGAAAATAATTATAATTTTTAACTATAAAAGTATATAAATTTAAAAAGTGGTTACTTTTAAATTAGTCTAGTTTAAACCTTAATGGATTGTGATTGTTAAGATATCAATTAAACTAAAATTTAATAGAAATCATAAATATTTATATTTATACTATTAAAAAGATTGACTGAAAAAACTTCACGAGTTAAAAGAGTTATAATTTAATTAAAAAATAATTACAATATCTTTATTCAAAATGTAATAATGAATATTAGTATGAAAATTTTCATTTTTTATACTTAACATAACAGTTATATAGAATAAGTAAAAAATATTATTTAAGAATCAAAGTATTATATAATAAGATATATATGTATAATATTACCTCTCTAATTTTAAAATGAATTTTAAAAATATTTTTTTGCTTAAATCATAGTTTACACGTGATAAAATCCAGTATATATTAAAACTTAAATATATACCAAAACGATTTCATTTTCTCTCCGCCAGCCACCATGTCATTTTTCATTCCGACCACCGTCCATCGTTGTTAACGGTGGTTGTTTGGTCCCAAATTTCATGGGTCAGTTCATCTCGATCTTCTGAGTCCGAATCTGGTAGTTGTTTCACCGAAAAATATCTCATAACTCATGAATCTCGACTGAAATATTTTGGCTCCCTCACTTTCAATCTCAAATTCGTGGACTTTGAAGCAAGTTTCGACAAAATGGAGGTCGGATTCGAAATCACAATGTTGAGGCGAAGCGATCCATGAAATTTAGGATCGAACGACCGCCATCTACAGCAATCGAGGGTGGTTGGCTTTGACATCCGACCACCTTCTAATTTTTTGTAATTTTCTCAATTATTTTATATTAAAAAATAATAAAAATAACACATCATGAAAACGTTAGAGAGTTAACAGGAGAGTGAGCAAATGATTCAATTTGTAAAGTTCAGTGAACAAAATAGAAAAATTAAAAGTTGGGTGAGAAAAATATGTGAGAGAGTATAGTTCAGTGAGGAACAATGTAATTTACCCTTTGTAAAAAAAGTTTTGCTCTTTATAAAGGTATTAGATTTAAATTGTTGTATTTATATGGCGTATACATATTATTATTGTTTAAGAAATTTCATAAAATACATATTATTTATAGGAAAAAGGAGTGTTGTTCTTTGTAGTCACTCAAACTATTAAAAATATATTTTTTTAGGAAAAAAAGAAAAAATAACCCTCAAAAGAGTATCTCAAAGAGGTCCAATCGATTTAAAAAATAATTAATAAATATTCTTTAAAGAAACAGGAAGGGATACATATAATTTTTTATACACAAATTTAGTAATTATGTGATATCCAACTTTTTAACTGAATTAGATATTTAATTTAATTTTATTACAATTAAACCTTTGATTTATAATTTTTTATGTAATTACTATTTATCTTTTTAAATTATATGTATTAATATTTAAATTTTTAATATTTCACTTTTAAATCTACTATTTGTATTATTATTTTTAACTAACGATGTTAAAATTATAAGTATGAATCAATCATAATTGAATATGTGTAATTAAAAAATATCAAATACATATTTACATAAAAGTAAAAGGTCAAGCACCTAATTTTACCAAACAGTAAAATATGGTACGTAACTGCACTAAAAAGTATACACCTAATTGCACTATTAAAAAAAAGTTTGATACCACATAACATACAATGCTTAGATTTTTTTATAGATACCGTTAATTTTATTAAAAATAAAATATATCGATAGAGATTTACAATCATAATCATAAATTAAACACATAATTAGAATATTTTCTTAAAATCATTGACACAAAACTAGCAACTTAAGATCGCATAAGGATCATATAATAAAACAGGGACGGAGCTCTCTTAGGGCCCAAGTAACCCCGTCCTTGTTAAAAATTGTATATTAGATATAATTTTGGTTTAATAATATTTTTTATTCATGTAAAAATAATTATTTAAATTTAAAAAATAACAAAAATATTAAATATTTAATCAAGCAGTGGTTGAACTAAAGAATGATAAGTACATGTTCTCAAATTTCTAGTCTAATTACAATTTAGGTCATTGTAAGTTTAAATATTAGACAAATTAGAAGTTGTCTTGTGAATTTTGAGTTTTTATTATAAATATAAGGTGAATACAAGGTAATATATGTGCAAAGACTTTTAACTATTTGACAATGAACTCTCATACCCTATATACGCAGTGCTTGAACTCGAGACCTCAAGGATAACAACAATCCCCTTAATCACTAAGGTCGCTTGTTCATGCTGAATTTCGAGCTTAAATACCTAATAAGTCTTTATATTTTTTTTAAATAGTCTAATATTTTGGCCCATGTCAATATTTAATTTTGGCTCCATCCCTGAAATGAAAGATTAATAAACCTAACCAAAACTTGAAAATGATAAATATAACAGGTTTGGTCGCTTCGACAAATAAATGTAAAAGGGGATCAAGTTATTAAAATATCACTGACAAAACTGTAAATCATAGTAGAACGACGTGAGAAAACTATCTACGCACACAAATCAAGTATCCAAATCCAATATGAGAGTTCAAAGTAAAGAAGATCAACATGATAACATATAAACTCTCATCTTAATTAATCATGGTGATATCGAATCAACGCTTAAAAAAGATAAATGAAAAACAACGACTAAACTACCAAAAACATGTCAAAATACAGAGAAAAATGTATCACAAAGGTAGACAATAATATATTGTAAAAACAAACTTATTGAAAATTAAAAACAAAAGAAAAATAAAGATGCGATATAAAAAATAAAAAGCTAATAAAAAAATTGACGATTGACAATCAACATCAAAATTGATGTTACTCTCTATCAACGATGAAAAAAAAGGGGTATGAATGACACACATAAAATTAAGGGGGAAAAAACAATTTAACAATCCATATAAATTGATGTTACTCTCGATCAACGATGAAAAAAAAGGGCATGAATGACACACACAAAATTAAGGGGAAAAAACAATTTAACAATCCATATAATGCTCAAATTAAGTACCTAAAGAAATTGAGTACCACATTACACTAAATGCTAAATTTAAGTACCAAAAGTTATATTTACATAAAAGGAAATAATGTAGTGCATATTATAATTGTCATTGATATAGGATAAGCCGCCATCCAAATCTCTCATTCCCGGATGTTTCTAGGTTTTCTGATTCGAATCTCCAAGATTTCATCCACGAATATTGCCTATAAATTTCTTGCCTAATTTTCGCTGATTATTTATTTTCGGTCTGTGTAACTATTCATCAACCGGGGTCTTCCTTATTGCGATCTGGGCGATTTTTCATAGGTTCGTTTTTTTCGCCAAAAAAGAAAAACCACTTTAATTTCTTAGTTGATTTTTATAATTAAATTCAATTTTTCGAATGGTGATATGGTAAAGTTACTAGTTAGGATTTTGATCTATGTTCTATCTGGTCCCCAGTAGGATCTATGGAAAAAAAAAGATGGATTCAGTTTATCGTTTATTTCTTTTTTCAAGTAAATGTTCCCTTTTCTATTAAAGATGTGTTTTTAACATCTTAAACTTAAACGGGGCCTCCCATGTGTTTGTGGCTTTGCGAATCAAGTTATCTTGTGTTTGCCTTTTCCTTTTTTCTGTTTCTCATTTGTTTTTGAACTGATTTTGACATAATTTATTTATTTTTATTTACAGGGAAGAAAACCAAACGAGATTGCTCAATAAAACTGGATATATTTTCATGATCATCTGTAATTTTTGGGAACCTTAAATGTATCCAAGTTTTAACTTCGTCTGAATTGATACTTTTGACTTGATGAGAAAGAAAAGGAAAGGAAGTGAAACTGATGCCTCTCAAGAGGTAACTGACAATTTTGCTTCGGCGTGGGATTCAAGATCATCCAATATTAGGTCTCATTTTTCATTAGAAGATTATGTGAGGATAAAAAAGAGGTGCAAGGAAGATGTCGATGCTCCTCCTGTTGGTTCATTTAAAAGTAGGCTTGCTGGCATTGCTACTGCCCCGCCTTGTGGTGCATCATCTTTGGTCCCTCTGGGAAGAGGTCTTAAGAGGAAGATAGGTTGCATTGAGGCGATTACACGAAGTGGTGGGAAGAAAAAGATTGAGGAGGATTATGTTAAAGGTGATACAATCGGACAGGGGAAATTTGGGTCAGTTTGGTTGTGCAGGTCTAGAAGTAGTGGAGTAGAGTTTGCTTGTAAAACCTTGCTTAAGGGAGAGGAGACTGTTCACAAAGAGGTAGAGATAATGCAGCATTTATCTGGTCATCCTGGGATTGTGACTTTGCAGGCGGTGTATGAGGAGCCCGACTGCTTTCACCTCATAATGGAATTGTGCTCAGGAGGTCGTTTAATTGACCAAATGGCAGAATCTCAGTTTTCAGAGCACCGTGCTGCTAATATTTTTAAGGATGTGATGTCAATCATTAAATACTGTCATGAGATGGGAGTTGTGCATAGAGATATAAAGCCAGAGAATATTCTCCTCACAACTTCAGGAAAGATAAAGCTAGCAGATTTCGGTCTTGCCATGAGAATTTCCAATGGTGAATATCTGAACCTACTTTGAAGAATTGCCTTTTCTGTTTGTTTGATTCATTAAATTCCTTTTTGTATATCTTGCAACTCAACATTCATTGTATGGGGTTGTAAAGTTCTTATTCCTTCAAGCATTGCATATTTATTTTGTGATTGCAAAATGTCAGTCACACATGCATAAATGGAGAGAGAGGTGCATGAAGGGAATTTTACTGTTTGTTTATTGATGAAGAGAATCGAAGATGCTATTGGCCTAGAATGTGTTTCCCTTTCTATAGCTGTGTCCTGGTTGGTGAATGTAGAGAATCTGCTAAAGAAGAGGATTAAGGAGATTTTATATTTCAAGGTGCTTAAATTTATTTTGAATGATAAAAATTTCAAGCATTAATGATGTCGAACATAATTGCTAAAAAAAATGAAAATATAGAATTGAAGGTGCTTACAAGTCAAACATTTTAGTTTTTTCCTTTTTTTTCACCTAAAAAATTCTCATGTTCTGAATTTGTTAATCCTAAACTGTTTTAGCTGATTTATTTCACTTGATCATTCTTATGCATAAATAGATTTGATCATGCTAAAAGATGTTTGCAGTAGAGTATTGCCTTGGCAAGCTTTTTTTTAGTATTTTGCTTGTTTCCTTTTGAGTTGTGCCTAAACCTTTTGTGACACAATTACTATTCACTACAGGTCAGGTTTTGTCTGGTTTGGCTGGAAGTCCGGCTTATGTTGCACCTGAGGTTCTATTGGGAAATTATTCAGAGAAGGTAGATATATGGAGTGCAGGCGTCCTACTACATGTGCTTTTGGTTGGTGTTCTTCCATTTCAAGGAGACTCCTTGAAGGCCGTATTTGAGGCCATCAAGAATGTAAAGCTTGATTTTCACTCGGTGATATGGGAATCTGTATCTAAATTTGCACGTGATCTGCTCTCTAGTATGCTGACCAGGGATGTTTCATCAAGAATAACTGCTGATGAAATATTAAGTAAGCTCTGAGTTCATTTTCTTAACTAGTATACCAATCAAATGATACATACATTTTTGTAGAAAATTGCAAATTAGCCTTGCATTCTTCGGTTACCATGCAACTCTGTCCTGGGTCTTGAATAATTGCTTACTCCTACAGTTCCTTTAAAAGCTTAATCTTTAATTTCCTGACATTTGAGCTGTCCAACTTCAGGACATCCATGGATATTGTTCCACACTGAGCGTTCATTAAAGACATTATCCATCAAATCGAAGTCGAAAAATCAAGTAGGATCTTCCATCCAAGTTTCCCATTTGCCTGGATCAGGGTCAAGTGTCAGTAGGATAAATGGCCGTTGTCACAGTCAGGGTACACAACCAGTCTTAACATCTTACAGCTCTAGCTGCAAATTAGAGGAACAAGATGAAAATGGTCTGGTGGATGTGCTTGCTGTGGCAATTTCCCATGTGAGGATATCTGAACCGAAGAGGACCAGACTTTGCAGTCCCACAGGACCTATAGAGCCGCAGCGTTCATCTAATCTGACGGTTAACAACCTCTGTAGAGCCTTCTGATCTCTGCTGACAGCACTAACGTGGTTATCATCTCTGCTGTTTTTGAGCTTCAGTGGCAAATGATGCTTATGGTGGATTAACTCGAGCATGAATCTATCCCTTATGGTGTTATCTCTTGGCAAAGTTTTTTGACTTCCAAGCCATGTTGTTAACTAAATAATTGTTTAATTGATGTACAGAATTGATGTTTCTCAGTTGTACAGCTGTGTGTTCGGTTACCCTGAACAAAAGCTTCAGTCGATAGCAACATAGCCGAAGTATGCATAGTCTTACAAAGAAACACTTAATTCTAATAGGAAAACAAGGATGAAATTTCACCTATTCAGATATTACTGTAGCCCTCAAATGCTTAGTTAGACAGTTTGAGTTGGTCAATCTGTCAAATTCAGTAATTCAAGAGTATTTATTGCATATATAAGCAGCAGAACTGCACAAGTGAACTTGAACTCATTAAATACTTTGCATTCAGGAAACACCAACCTGATGGATTGAACAACTGTTCTCCCATTTCTACTATGAAGAAGAAACGGAGGAAAAGAATGATCCAAAGCAGTACATAGGTAGGTTAATTCATCGATAAGAGATATGGAAATTTCATATAGCATTTAAGTTTTGGAGCAGCTAAATCTTTTTTTAACATTTGAAACCGAACTGATCTCAAGTCTTTACTACTTAAGGTACCTGTTTTTCTTTTAGGGTATAAAGAAAAACCAGGTTCTTTCCCCTGCAATATCCTTAAAACCTCGATTAAAGCACAGATCTTGTAAAGAAATGAACCAAGTGGGAAGGAAGGATGTTGTGTCCACTGTTCACTCTCAAGTTGGGGTCATGAGAAAAAGCAAGATCAATTCTGGAAATGGTGCAAATGAAAAAGGTTTTGTACTTGAAATATTAAAAATTGATAAAAAAAAAATGGTGGGAATGGAAGGTATTATAGTGGATGGTGTGCAGCAGTAGACAGACAGACAGAATAATTAAGTGGCTGAGCCGATGGTTCACTTCAGCCATGAATGCGCTTAGCTTAAAACCCACCAACTTACTGGGGCTTTGCTTGTGTCACGGTCTGTTCATTCACACTATTTCACCATCGTTATCATATAAAATAACAATATATTATAGGTTCCGACCCGACCTGATCGGATCAGATTTTTTTAAAAGAAAATTTGGGTTCGGGTAAGGTCGGGACGGGTTTTTAAGTGTGATATTCGGGTCGGGTCAGGTTTGGGTGAAAATACCCGATCCGACCCGAAAAAATATATAATTTTACAATGTATATTTAGGAATAATTATAATAATACCCCTCTATATATAATTTTTTTCAATTAAGTCACTGTTTTTATTGAATAAAAATAATTTTTTTTATTATTTCGGGTCGAGTTTCTAAGTCATATATTCGGGTCGGATAAAACTTTGTTTTGATCGGGTCGGGTCTCGAGTGGAGGCTTCCTTGTTCTCGGGTCGGATTGGGTGGACCAAAAACCCGACCCATGGCATCCCTCCTCTTGTGACTCCAAAAGTAGCTTCACATAGTTGACTAGTTTTTCCCCCTTCTTTTTCCTCTTAGTTTCATTTTCAGTTTTGCTCAATTTCAAAATTTTGGAATTTGGGACTCAGCTTGATAATAGCTTATTTACAGAGAAAGCAAGCATTATCGCTTGTTGTTGTTATAGGTTTGGTGGTGAGCATGCAGCAGTATTAGAATTATATGTTGGATAGCATGTGGAAGCCATAGCCGAAACCGGGAAAGAAGGTAGTTACAATAAATTAAGACCCTTCATTCAATTTATAATAATAATAACAATAATAATAATAATAATAGTAATAGTAATAAAAGTGGAGTTTGTCAAATGATGGGATTGGATAAGTTCCAGTTGGATAAATAGATCCATCAAAATTGTCATTTTCATGACTGATCACCCAACTGTCAAATAGTTTGGCAAAAAATCTTGGACCTAAATGTAAAGTCATTATCACTGTTTCTCTTTTCTTTTTCTTCTTTTGAGACGTGGATGGTTGCCCAACAAAGAACAAAAGAAGGAACAAAGCCAAACTACAAAGGCATATGATCAAATCAAAGAGTCAAAGGAGATCTTTCAATAAGATGCTTTTAATCTGGCATTAGGGACAGTTTACTATTCTATGTCTCTCTTACCTCATTACATATAGGAATAGAGTTAGCTAATAAAGAGCCAAAGTAGGAGGAAAAAAAGCAGAGGCCACCAAGGGAGATGGTCGCTGAAACGGTAGGGAGGGCCAGAGAGCTAAGGGCCAGAGAGCTAAAAGCATTACTTTTCCATCACTTATTCAATTGCAGAGTCAGATCTCACATCGATTATATGCTTTGGTTTTTTACCCTTCCTAGCTGCCGTGGCGAATACCAACAACGAAGGGCAGATAGATTTACCATACTAATCATCAAAATGATAGGTCCTACCCCTTGATATAGGAGAATCTATCGCACCCCAAAGAGAGTCTATAAGCTTCAACCATAAACTTTCATGGAACGTTAACAAGTTCAGGCTCCAGTGGAGATTGAGAAATTATGACGACCATCCACCATACATCCATCAATCCTTTTCTTAGGAAATGGGATTTTTGTGGATGGAACATAGTGGAGAGGACCTACAATGTGTACTTATACAACACTTTCCACGCCATAATTAATGACCCTTCCTGCCATTTAATCATTCCCCATTCTATAGGAAGAAATAGGAAATAATATATATATATATATATATATATATATATATTATAAAAAATAAAATAAAATAAAATAAAATATGTCTTGCTAAAAGTTCATGGTCCACAGTTAATACATGATCCCTTGCTAACGATAATAATAATAAATCTAAAACAAGGTTAACAAGAATCAAAGATACAAAATATTAGTTAATCATTATTCTCATATGTAATGGGATAAGGGGAGGTATGATAGTAAGCTGTCCCCAACACCAGATTGAGAGCAACTTCCGTGGAAGACCTCCAAATTATGAATTGCCCACCGTAAGACTCGATCCTACGATCCCAAGGTTAAGAGCCTTGTACTCTACCAACTGAACTAGATAGGCAATTCATATCAAAGATACAAAGAGAAGTGCAATCCTGGGATTTTAAGTCCGGACAAGCTATAGCTTAAACTACATCCTTAATCCAAATTAGCAAAGTATCGTTTAGAGAGTGGATAAATACTTCTTGACTGCTTCAAATCTATCTGACCTTATCTCTACATCAAAATTTAAGGCGATCTGGCCCGAAACACATACAACATTGCCCCTCCATATTAGTTCATCAACCCCTCATCCCTTCTCTTTTGGTTAACTCCAATTATGATAAAAATGAATACATAAACCAAAAATAGAAACATGAAATTTAAATGAGTGTCGCTAGAACAACATTCAGTGGTTCATTAATTTACAAAGACATCATTTTCCTTGGTCCTTCATCCAAAGTCCTTGAAAAGAACCTATGCAAAAATGAAGGTTCTCCCTCAATGGGGCTGACTTCAATGTCAAAGAAACAAACTCGAGGCTGAAGCAGAAGTTATTTTTCCTGCGGCCTGCTTTGTCAGTGTTTGTCCGATTGAATGGAGGAGATCTCTGACGTTCTTGCCAAACTGGATCTAAATATGGGGGAGGAAGATGCTCTAGAGACGGAGGACGATTCAGATAAGGAGGAAGTTTTTTTTTAGTTATGTTTTGTGGGCACTTTCCTTGTTTCCAGTGTAATTAACTTCCAAGCCATGCGAGCTAGTCTTGCCAATGTTTGGCATCCAATTGGAGGTATTGAAATTTCAGATCTAGGGGAGAAGCGAATCCTTTTCAGATTATTCAGAAAGGTAGATACTGACAGATTTGAAGAAGGAGATCCTTTGAACATTAATAATCATCCACTTATACTACATCGGTTGTTGGATGGAGAAGATTCCCGAACTGTTCCCTTAGTTTATACTCACTATCGGGTTCGTGTCCATGATATTCCAATAGGTAAGATGAAAGAAAAGGTGGCGCGTGTGTATCGAGATTTTATCAGTTCTTTCATTGATTACGATTCTAAGATAAGCCAAACAGGGTATGATAGAATAATGAGGATTAGGGTAAAAGTCGATGCCTGACAAGCCTTGAAAAGGACAAAGAAAATGCAGTTGAATAACGGAACCGTTCACCATGTCAGATTCGAGTATGAGAAGTTAACTTTATTTTGTTTTCTCTCTAGAAAATTAGGGCATGGAGAGAGTTTTTGCCCCATTAGAGCTTCTCATGAAGATAAGGATCTCCCTCAGTGTTAGGGCTTTCAATTTGAGCTCCTCCCTACAAGGCGAGTATTTCGAAAAGCATATGGCTCCGGGAGGCAGGGCTGGCGAGTGATCATTTTCCATTGGGTAAAGTATAGTAATGGTCACTGAACTTTTCTAAAGCTTTCATTTAGGTCCTCCAACTTTTAAAACTTGCAATACAGTCCTCTAACATTTAGTCCGTTTGTAATATGGTACCCAACCGTTACACTGTCGTTAGTACGTTTGCAATATGGTCACTGAACTTTTCAGGCACTTATATTTAGGTCCCCCAACTTTTAAAACTTGCAACACAGTCCTCAATTTTATTCTAAACCCCAAATTTCAAAATAATTCAATTATATTCTAAACCCTAAAGTTTAAAATACTTCAATGTAGGGTTTATAATATAATTAAAGTATTTTGGAATTTAGGGTTTAGAATGTAATTGAAGTGTTTTGGAATTTTGAACATGAATTTGCTATTTGACAGTGTTTACTTCAATATAAATTTGAGGTTTATTGAATGCACATCCAGCGGCTGCCGCACTTTGAACATGAAAAGTGCATCTATCACGTTTATTGCATAAACCATTGCAGTAAAAGTAACAAGGCCAATTTGTCTTGTCCGTAGTTGCCGCACTTTGGTATGACAATCCAATAGGTTTAGATGGAACTTGAGCATGCACATCCAACGACTGCGAAAATAGTAAAGAGTTTTAGTTCATAGG